GTTTTTTTTTTTTTTTTTTAATTTATTTATCCGATTCTACAATTACAAATTTATCAGAGTCCAATATTTCATCATACAATACTCTATTGAATTAAAAAAAAAAAATAATTCACTCGATACTTTTTGCTATTGACGATTTTCGTGTCTCACCTAGCGACCCGTAAACACGGATTCCACCGCCGAAGTCGCGGCGTTAACGGCGCGGTGAATGTCGGAGACGAATAATTCCTAGCGATTATCCTGAGAAAATGCGAAGCACGGACAGGTCACGAGTATCTAAGACATGTTTTAGGAATCGGCCTTTTAACGCGGCTGCCGTGCGCGGTCGCCACCCACGCCGACACGAATACGGATAGGCACGGGTAATACACGGTGTACGGAGGCACGACAATGGCCGTGTCGCACAATGAGAAGAAGACGAAGGGAAGCAGCGCATTGAAAGGCAAATGAGGCCCCGCCGTGGCCAGTGCTCCTCTCCTCCGTCTTCTTCTACCTCGCATTCGGTACGTCATCTCTTTTCTATTGCGCACCCACATCCGCTGCTGCCTTTTCAAGTAGCACCCCAAAACACACCTTACGCAAATTAATGTCGCATGTTAACCAGGCCCGGCTCGAATGACCGGCACGACGGAGCGGCTGAGGACAGTCAGGCTCGTCATCGTCGTCTTTAATAATGATTCATCGCCATACGGCGCGACTAATTGTTTACCGGTCGTTCACAATGCCAGCCAGCCAGCCAGCGAACACTCCTGGCAACGTCGATACGCGCGTACCATACATATGCATTTGTGTACCTTTCTTTCAGTCCGGACATTTTTCACCTCGTTTGTAATTTTGCCTTTCGACGTCGTGCGCGCCTTCCGTCTTTTCGTTGCTACCTCGCGTCATGTTATACTCGCGTCGGTGCTCGAGTATTTCGTTAATTACGGTTCCTGACTCACGTCCGGTTTATTCGGTTCCGCAATTCTTTACGTAAGTCGATTTTTACGGTTAACTCTAATTCTTTAGTTGGCGCCTTTTTCGTAATTATGTAAAATTAATTTTCCATCTCGAAACATTTGGAGAAGCATCTTTACTTATACTTCTTATTTTTATTATATTTAAAAATTTTTGTTTTGTATAACATAGTAATTTTCCTTTGTGTAGGAAATAATCTTTCCATATTACAAATTAAAGTTGCTATTGTTTTATTGGCATTTACATTGTAGGTATATTTTAATGTAAATATTGTGCTATAAAGAATCGTGCTAGATTTCAGTTGGATGATGTCCTTAACACACTTTGTACGCGCAAGTGACTTAGGTACGATACGAATTAATAATGCAAAGATTAGTAATTCAGTCCCCTAATAATTTTAACGGATTGATTATTCACACAGAGTGTACGTCAAATCCAACAAAGCACTAGCGTGCAAGTTTAGATAGCATCCCATAACGAATGTTGAATGCAAAGTTATTATTAATAAATTTATGACAACTTGAAGAATAAAGCAAGTGGTATCGCTGTGCATTACGTTCTCGAGACTGGGTGGAAACAACCACCATCTCGTGGTGAACATGAAATGCAATTGCACTGTATGCATATGTTTATTTTTTGTTAATAATCTTTAAATTTTTGATTATCACGTTTTTATTACGAAAATTTTTTAACCGGGAATATAAAATTATGAAATATACGTAAATTATTTAACATTTTGGTAATAATAGGAATGTATCCACAGTAGATACATGAATCCGTTACGAAAACGTTGTTACTGGCAATCGATTTTATATTTTAAATATGCTAGAGAGAGAAGTCTGATGCGGCAAAAACTTGCAAATGAAATTATTAATCTGTTTATTTAAAAAAATTGTTATTAAATAAAATATATTCACAGTTATCGACAATAAAGTGGCTTTATTTAATTGTAAGTTGACTGATTGAAAAAAATTGCTTATTAAAAAGTATCTGAAAAGTTTTACTAATTTAACAATTTGCTATATTGTTCTTACATAATAATATTTAAAGTTGGATGTGTGAAAAGCATTGAAGCATTTCAAGAGATAAAAATAGGGCTTACATAAATAACAATACAATTTCAATTATCTTTATAAGCTTTTCAATTTTTTAAATGCGATTGAGTAAAATAGATAAAGTTCAATAATTTTAACGAGGCAAAAAAAAAAACTATACGTTACGTCTAGATAACTTTTATTAACCAATATAATCGTGTATCGTTACAAATGATGCGGCAACGATGTACCGATGCAACTTGGGTTACAATGAAACTGGTTTTGTTAACGGTGTACAATGAAAATAGGAATCGATGAATGAGCGAATTTACGAATTTACAGACGTATTCGTCGCTACTCGACATTCGAAGAACTGCTTACACCACAACATGTAATTTATACTTTTACTTTTTTTTTGTGTCCAGTCTGTCATTATGTCGCCTGCTCCGACGAAACGTTAACTTCCTTCGTTCCGTGCTTCCCATTGTCCTCGCTTCCTCTTCGATACAGTGTGTCTCTGGTAAATCCGTGAGTGATGTCACTTGTGCGCGCGCATGTATATATGTATGTCTGTTTTTGCGTATAACTGTGTGTATACGTGTACAAACTGTAATTATACTCGAAGACATCAAAAACTCACTACATTATGTTAAATAATAATGCGTCGCGGATTTGCTTCCGGCACATATGCATATGCAAAGCCTCGCTGTCTTTTCTTCGTTTGTTCCTCCTGCAGATTCGCAACTTGGGGCTACACGAAATTACTGCACACACGCACACAAACATACTATTGTATTATCGGAAAGTACGAAACACGATCTTAAATAAATTCTTATGGCCGCAAATAAAAACGATATTTGTAATATTTATTCAAACAAGATTTATATATGTAATTAAATACTTATATATAATAAATATTATTTACGTAAATGCAACACAAACTTAAACAATAAATAATACGTTGATATGAAATTTGCGCGAGTCACTTTATGATCTCGAATAAAGAAGAAATAAATAGCAGTGCAAACATTTGCAATTGTGAATTTCTGTTGCATTCATCTTCCGTCGGCCTTATCGCAAATCCGCGACTCACTAGTTAGGCTTACGGCTACTATCGAGATATTGATGTACATATACAAGAATTGTGGCTTTACTCCTTACAACACGGGTAGAGTATACAAAGACGTTGTTTGCCGAAGAAAAACGGTTCACATTGTCTCAATTTCTGTTCTTCCGCCTACCTTTTTCTCGCTCGCTCTCTTTTTCTCTTCTCTCACTCTCCTATCACGCACACGTATATTGGAGCTACGCATTCGTACGTATTCGTTAAACGTGGAAGGGTTTCCGGTTTTACATATATTTTCTTTATAGCATTTTTTTTTTTACGAGAAATCGATAAAGAATCATTGGTACTCATTTTGCATTTGCGCGTGTCTCCCCCCTCTCTCTATACTTCTTCGAATCCCTTCTATCATTCGTTTCGGCTTTGTTGGTCCGGTGTGGCAGTGCCTTGTTAATTAATTTAATTCTCGCAATGAGCTCTCGCTACGTTGTCGTCGTTCATGATTTTTGTTCTTTTTTTTTGTCACGCGCGATCGCGCAGAGTGTCGGTGAAAAGATTTCGAGAGTTTCACAGGAGAATTTCTTTTTCGTCGGTTTGTGCGATGAGATGTATTAAATTTTGGCAATTAGTACCGAAACTGGATCTTCAAAAGAATACATTAATTTAATAGTATTAGAAATTTTCACATATATAAGCTGATTTGCCTATGTTTTTATTCGTTAAATTTGCAACGACTGTAAAATATGCGAAATGCATGATTATTGTTTTGATTTATAGAAGTTGGTGCGCGTTATAATCTTTGTACTGATATACGTGTATATTTTTCTAAGATAAAATATACGTATGTTACGTTCATACATCATATATATTTTACGCCATGTGTAAAATCTTGGAAAAATCAGCTTGTACATGTTGCAATATTGTAGCTTCGCGATAAAAATAATAGTCGAGAAATGAAAAATCCATCTGTGCGCAAATCTGCGCATCACTGCGCTGGTAATAATGTCGTTCGTTTCACAGATACTCTGCTGAACAATAATTTACTGACGAAGAATGATTATCGTTATTTACATGTCGCACGCAACACTCCACATCTACAGTTGCGCACATCAAAATTTAATACAAGTATCCATAATATATATATATATCCATTTTTATATCTATATATATTTATATCGTGTTTACTTTTTAATAATGTCGTTCTTGGATTATAATTATATATAATCGATCGGTAACGGCTTGATTTAAACGGCTGCTTCTCGTTAAGCTTCCGTTACAACAACATTCCTCTTATTTCGCGCAAACGCGCTTTACTTATTATTTATATTATCTCTAATAATTAAAATATTTAGAAAGCTAAGTACGTCGACTGGTGTGTAATTATGACTTTCGTCAGGATCTCAGGTGTGTCTTGTGTATTATTGTTTTCTCTTCGTGGGCAAATTTGATTCAATAAAATTTGTAAATGCTGATAAATTTTATTGAATGAAATTCAGTGTGATTTTTATCTTGAGGAATATTTTCACAGGGACCGTGAAGGAATTCACAAAGTATAGTCTCTATACGATGAACGTTTTCTTTTCTCAACGATCTACATACGATATCAATAGCGAAGTAAATGCGAAAGATCGATATCTCTTCGAGATAGGCTTAAACACTAATCAATAATGATAGTAATAATTATCTCTTATATTTCGTGAATGGTGTGCGAGCTCCTCTACATTCGCGTGTACCGATTATAGTCTTCGTTTCTTTTTCTATCTCCGGATCCCCACCCTTAACTCTTTCAGGGGCCGAGAGAGTCAGCGTATTTGTGCGGGACCTCTGAAAGAGAAGCATTAATGAAGCGAAACTTAGGCACTGTAGTTCGTAAATTAAACCACATCGCACCAACATATAGAAACGCACAAAAATGGTGACACCTAAGCACATTATACTGTGACCTATATATATATTCGACCGTGAGAAGTTGTACACAAGCTGCTGCACCATCGCCCCTCAAAGAATTAAGCTATTCGCAACGGAAAGCCTTGACGTTGTATCTCTGATCGGAATATTGAAAAGACAAACACGCACGAATAGCTTTCCGCTGAAAATAAGTCTTTTCGACGCTAATTCATCTTTGACTTCCTTTCCGCCGCTCTACGTCCGTCTCTTAGTCACACAATCTGCATTATAACGCGTAATTTCCGCTTGCGTTCGCGAAAACTTGTCGAATATATGCCATTCAGAGTACTCGGTTAATCCAAAACGAAATATTCTCTATACATAATCTCGCTCGCGTCAGCTTCGAAAACACGGTCGCTTTTTTCATCGACTCTCCGTTCAATGCTGTTTTGAATATGCGCCTCTCGGTGCCCGCGATGGAAATATGACGAAGATGCGATCTCATTATACCGTGGTTAGGTTAGGTATTCATCCGAAGAGAGCGCGAATGTTCCAAAAATGTTGGTAAAAGGATTCGAAAAACTTGTGAAATAATTTTGTACTCTGCGGCACGCAACGAGAAACAACGACGGAGATCTTTTTGATGCGTGTCCCTTTTAAAGGGACGGGTCTCCCGTTGATTGCGTGCTCATGAACGCGAGGGAGCACTCGCGTTTCGGGTCAAGTGGCTCGAGAACGAAGGGATCTGACGCGAAAAACTCAAGCGTCGTTAAACTTGCTTTTGTTAAACGAGCAGCGCTGCGAAATTACCCTGCTTCGTGTCGAGATACCTCCGGTTGGACTACGAGATGCAACCACGACCGTTCCGCTTGTTCTAAATCAAACGAGCGTAATCACGAATCGTGCGACTCGTTAATAAGTAGATTAAGAGAGCTCCTTTCTCGCTACTTTTCTGATCGCAAAATTATTTCGATAAAGAGTGCGGAAACGAAGCCGTTCGCCCGACAGCTAGCTAATCATTTCATACGGCGAACTCCAGTCTCGAATTAATTAACGATCTCGTACGATTTTTTTTTTTATCAGAGAGCGTGAACCAAACGCGTGAACTTAGAAGCTAATCTCGTCCGCTAAATATCGTTGACTTATAAAAATATGAAATATTTAGTTAAACATCGTTAACGCACGAATAGAAGGAGATTCGTCGCCAACGCCGACTCAAGTTTTCACAAAAGTATATATCACAGCGATCCGATATACTTTGATAATGAAACAAGAAAACACCGGACAATCTAAAGCCTCGCGTGTGAACCGAATTGCTTAGCAATTGCTCTTGATGCACGATGGGGCGAAGGTACACATATACGATACATATAACGTTATACATATAAAAGTAGAAAATTTGGTGGCAGTATATAGAGATCGTGTAAGGTGAGAAACGCGGTGAAGGAAAGCGCGTATTTTGTATTTCGTGAAACGCTAACACTTTGGTTGCTTTGTGCTTCGTTTGCGCCGCGAATCGGCAAAAGCCCGTCTGATCGACGAGATCGTTGACATGGCCGTCGATCGTCCAGGTGTCATTCTCTCCTCATCGACTCTACTGACCAAGACAAAAATGAAAAAAAAAAAAGAGAGAAAAAGAAAAAAAAAGAAATACAATGTGCACAAAATGGAGACAAAAAAAAAACAGTTTTGCGGCTCGACACGATTATGTCTGGCTCCACTTTACACGAAAGCTCCTCTTCGAGGATGTCAGATCGACCTTGATCGTGTTATTCAAGCGCCTCCTCAGACGTCGATAAAGGGTTTCTTCATTAACGAGATAAAATCTCCGACTTCCAACATGGATTCTTGGAATTCTCAACAATTATCAACGACTTGGATATCATCTGAAGGTCTCTTCGTGCAACGGGCGCATTAGACACTGTGTTATTTGATTATTTTCGGCTGTTCCGTCGTTTGTTTTTTTTTTTTTTCATTTTTCATTTTTTCCGTCCGCCAATCTTCCTTAACCAATTCTCTCCTCCCGTTCTTCAACCTTTGCCTTCTTTCGAGACCCGAAATCGATGTACGTGATCGAGGTCGTCGAGCATCCTGACCTGCTTGTGCTCGCTCTTTTGTCCCAACCGACGACCACTCCGGACGATTGACCATAACGAGGCTCTCCGCTCGTCTACTCCAGACGCGCCTTGTAGCTGGTCTTCCAGATCTCGGCGAGCGTCACGGCGCTGTGGAACCTGTGGAAGATGCACAGCGGCAGGGTGACCCTCTGCACAATGGCCCAGGCCAGGAATCCGTAGAAGTCGAGTTGCACCGGATTGGCAATGACCTTCTGGGTCTCGAAGGTGTAGATCACCCACATGGTCACGTTGCAGATCAGCAAGAAGGTGACGACCTGCCGGCCGGGCTTGCTGCGGTCGTGCTCGGGCAAATGGACTCGCCTGCGCGACACGTCGGCGATGAAGAGCATCTGGAGGACCACCTGGGCGACCGAGAGCAATCCTGTTACCATCACCAGTAAATTCGGCTCGTGTGTGAAGGCCGCGAGGGAGCCGGCGATCACGCTGAAGACGGCGTAGATGAAGAGACCGAAGGCGGAGACGCGCAGGAGGATGTCATTCAGGTCGCTCTGTTCTTCAGCCTTGAACTTGAGGCTCTGCACGCGGATGAAGCCGATGATAATGGCGATGATGGATAGTGCCATCAGGACGCAGTGGGACACGTCGGCGAGGTAAATTGCGAGTAAACCGAGTTCCGGATGATGGATCAGCACGAAGAAGAGGATCAGGCATATCAGGGAACCGACGAGAAGAAGCAGACCGAAGAAAAGACCCTTGCTTGCTCCCACGCAGTCGACTCTGGTGTGACCTAATCATATTTTTTATAATAACACGATTAAAATCAAGTCAATAGTAGTATGCTTGATGAATGAAAAAAAAAATCAGAGAACTGGCAAATAAATGCAAATACCGGCGTGAGCAAGAGCGACTGCTCGTCGAGAGAGCATGGCCTCCAAGCGACGTTCAAGATCTGCTTCTGCCTGATGGGGCCAACGCGGATGTCGCCCGATGTGCTTCCACATCACGTAAATCACTGCCGCTCCGATCAGACTGTACTCGATTATGAACGGAAATAAGTACGGTGCCGCATCCTGGACGATAGTTCCCATGATATTGACACGTCCGCATGAGTTCGACACCGTGCCGTCTTCCGTCAAAGCTTCCGCGTAGATGCCTAGATTCGGTCTCCAGTATTCGCTGCTATTCGTCAAGTTGCTCACATCGAAGATCTGCGGTACCTGAGAGAAGTGGGAGGATTCAATTAGTGTTCATTGTTTCAACTAGTGTTCGAAAATTTCAAGTGGTCGAGCAATTAGAACAGTTTGCATTTCAAGATCGAATTAAATAGTTCGGGCTTTTGGAGTTGAAAATACATTCAAATAGTTCGAGCGGTTCGAATTAACTTCAGAAAATTCGGAAATTGACAAAAACGAAAAGTTGTTCTATTTTGCTCCAATTTTCTTCAATGTTTACAATTACGAATTGATATTACAGATCGATCATTGCTTATGAAAAAACCGCCATTTGAACGGTCTCAATTTTCTTTATCAACTAAGAAATCGAAATCAAAACCGGAACAATGAAATATTTTATTAGATTATAATCGTAACCGAACCGAAATGTAAGGTCGATCCGGATCCATGACTTGCACTTGGTTGTCCATGTCTCCTTGCGGCGCGTTCATGAACTCCATAATCTGCGACCAGATTGTGGTAGTGGACGGTGTGGTGGTCGAGGTGGTGCTGGTGCTCGTCGTGGTCGGGATAGTGGTGATCCTCTCGGTGGTAGTAGTGGTGGTGCTGGTGGTCGACGGTGTGAATGTAGTCAGTAGAGTGGACAGAGTCGTCGCCGTGCTGGTGGTGAGATTGGGCAGCGCGAAGGTGGTGGTCGACGCCGTCGTCGTCGACGGAGTTGTCCAGGTGCTCGTGGAGGTGGCGTCCGGCGTGGTGACTGCGTCCATGATCGATCTCGCCGTTGTTCTCATCACGCGGCCCAGAGCCGTCACGGTCGTGCTGGTGGTCGATGCGATGACGGTCGGTGCGACGGTCGTCGATCTCTGAGAGGCTATAAGAGGCGCCTCCCGTAATTGCGCCATGTCGCGCGGCTCGGTGCCCAATATAGCTCCGGCGTTTCGCATCGAGTGCTGCTTAATGCTCTCTGCAAACGTCGACACGACATCAAGGCTCGATATGTATCGTCGCTAAACCGCTTGAAACATCGCGACGTCGCTCGGGCGGCTTGAGCGACGGCGCGCGATTAATTCTGTAAATAGATCGCTCACCGAGAATCCCCGCCTGAACCTGGCCCAGTTTTTTATGATACTGCGTGATCTCCTTGAGACTCTCCAGAACCAGAGTGCGTATCCACACGCAGAGATTCGTCGCGACCACGTGCATCAGACCGAAGCGAGCGATGACTTTGAAGCGATGGATGTTCAGCTGCGGAGAATATCATAATGGCAATTTACATTTCCCTGATTCCTTATTCGTCCGCCTCGCTTCGCATTTCAAATACGTACTCGAGAATTCATGAAGATAAAGTACATTTGCATAAAGGTGAAAATCATTTGCAACACCGGATTGACGCCTTGCAATATCTGATAGCAGGGTGATGTGGGTGGTATCTCGAAGAATGCACCGAATTCCAATCCGTTGTACACCATTGTGCCCAATCCAAAAGCTATCGATTTATTGAATATTTCATCAGTTCGTCGACACTATTAGCATCAATTTTCAAAACAATATTTAGTATTGTCATAAATTTTTCGTTTACCAATAGCGCCGATTCTTAGGAAGAAGCTACCGTGACTGTGATCGTTCTGCGAAGTTTTTCGTTTCCGCAAAACTCGCGTTGCCACGCCGGCTTCAACATCGGTTGCATCCTACAAAAACGACATCTTCCATGAATATATTGAAAAATTTACTCGATTGCAAAAATATTTTATTTCAGAAGCTTGGACGTTAATTAATTTGACGTTGAAAATTTGGAAGTTTTTTAAGATAATGACGTAAAAGAATCAAGTATAAATCTTTGTTAAAATTGACAATAATAAAAAATGACTGAATGTTTTTGAATTTAGTTTTAGCAAAGATTTATGTTTCATTGTTTTTTATACCTAAAGAAATCTACATGGAGGCGTTCGAAATGCTGTAGATATAAAGCACGATTGATAACAATAGTTAATCTTATTACGTCAGCCTCAAGAGTATTCGTATAACTTAGGCAGTAGGCGCTAACTAAAATACATTTCATGGTTAATATGCCATTGCCGTAGCCGTGAAACTCGCGCGAAACAAAATTAGTATTGCAATGAGTCATAGCTGTGGCATTTTGCGTTAGATAGACTGCTAGAAATAATGTTACTATTTTTTTTACAAATGCTATCATATTACAAATTTTTAAAAAATTTTAGAAAGACATTTTATACAATTCTTTCGTTTCTTGCTTGTTTTTTAATGGTTTATTAAAAGAATAGTCTTAGAAAACCTGCTGAGGAGGTTCCTTTTTGGCCTTTGGTTGCTTTTGATCTTTCTCTTTCTTATCCTTCTTTTTGTCTTTCTTGTCTTTAGTTTCCTTGGAAGAAGTCCAATTAGATTTCGGCGGCCTCGGTGGCGGCGGCGGCGTGTCACTTCCTCTCGCGCAGCAGGCGCTTTCTTGAAGGAGGAAGCAGAAGACGTACAGCAGGAACAGAATACTCATGCCGTAAAGGTAAGTGAAGAATCCCTCGTAATAATACAGCGGCAATTTGTGCGTTACTACTTCGCTTATCACGTAAGCGATGCACACGACTACAAGCAGTTTCGCATAGATGAAGCTCATGATGATGAAGAGCGACGTTCTGAAATGAAAAAAAAAACATCCAAATTCGTCAGTTTTTATCGCGATTTGGCAAAATAATAACTATCATGTCATAATAATGCGAAATGTGACACCTGACACATGTTAGTCGGCCAGTGCGACGCGTTTAGATTCAATTGCATAGACAAAAAAACCTACATCACATTTTAATAATAATCTCACCCTTTTTTCTGAACAATTTGTACTCTGCTACCCCGTCGTGGCAGCGTATTCTTCCTTCTTACATTACTATCGACGAATGGCACAACTTCGACTTCCATAATGACTTCGAACTGTTGTCAAAATTTTACACGAGATACTTGGATTTATAGTTCTCTTTTTAAATTAACGTTTACACGTTTTTCGTACAGCATAAAACTTTTAGTTTTATATTTTGTACTGTGTTGTATAATTGCTGTTCTATATTATTTCTGGATTATAATACTCAATTAATGAATTATTATTTTAATTAATTTATTATTGTTTATATATATATAATTATTGAAGTGTTTCACCGCAGTACCGCGTCCTACTTCGATTAACAACGAGCGTCGACTGTTGCGCTCTCGATCGCGCAAGTCGATTCGCACCTACGTGCTATTTCTGTTTTCATCTCTAAGTACAATGACGTTTCGAACTCATTAAATTTTTATTCTTTTTGCCAGATATAACTGTGCCCTCAATTTTCTGATCTATATAACATAGATACAGATTTTATTCAAATTAAATTTTTACTGCCAACCATCGATAATTTATAATAAAAACATGATCAGTTCAGCGCAACAAAGTGACTGAGCGTCAAATGCTGCTTTTATTAAAATCACTATTAATTAAAATGTCAAGCTGCGCTTTACAATATGTCACAATGTGTTCTTGATAAAAATTACACTGACACACAAACTCACTTGATAACATACATTCACTGGATTAATCAGAAATATAATATAATTAAATTGATATTTAGAAATCATAAATGCTTGCACATGAATTGAAAGTCTTCTCAATTTCGGCCGTTATCACTTGATCTTGGAACGAGTGGCACGATTACGCGGAGTGCGATAAAAGGGGGTCGATCTTCGATAACAGTTGACCTGGTGCATTCGCTTTTAATCGACGAGCATGACTGCCGCTCGAGCATCTCGAACGTACTTATTCGTGCCTCATCCTCGTTACGCTCTTTTTCTCGCTTAAAGGTTAGGCGGCGCAATCGATAGTCTATATATATAATACCGGTCGCAAACTCGGCGCGATCTCACCGGGAATCAATCGCGCGGGAAATGAGGCTTTTCCACGGGAAAACGGGGCCGCGCAGCGCGCACGCAGGAGGGGCGACGCGCGACGCCGCACGATGCAGCTACGCCCGCGCGCGACAACACGTATGCTTTGCGTCTACGACGAGAAGGGCTTAACCGCCCTTTGTCACCGTGGCATTTCAGGGGTTGGGGCGCACAGACTTTATTGTGTCCCGCACGAGGCTGTACACTCGCGTCAGGGATTTTTTTTCTCCCCGGATGGACGGGTGGGATGCGCGTTAGAGTAGAGGCGGTGATATTTTCCGTGTCTTACGGGAGCGCTTTTATTTAAAAACGCCTGCTTCTGTATTTACCCGTTGTAATTTATTACGCAAGGTATTTCAGAATTACCGGATGTCCTTTTAATAAACTCCGTTGTTTATTATATGTAATTCAGCACACCATCGTTTACTTATTTTATCGGCATTTTTGTGCGCGAACCTATTTTATGACAGTACGCGCGATAATTACAGTTTCTCCATGTTAATTAGCTGAGAAGCGGAGCAACTAACCCGCTCCTAATTGGATTGATCGGGCCGACTTCGAGGCTATTGTTCCCCACAATTGAGCTGGCGAGCGCAGAACGCATCAATAACAATGAATGAGTTTCTCGTCTTGGGTATTGCTCACAACCAGTATTTCAGTTCTATTCAGCTTCATTACGCGGCTTCCTGATATCGAGAGTCAAATAATCATGGAACCTGCGAGCTTCAGAAATTTAGAAAAACTACGTTACAAAATAATTATGTTTTCTTTTATAAATTAAAAGCAACGCGAAAAAGATTGCGTGCGCAACCAATTAGTTTTCGTCATTGCAGACTTTGTATAATTGAGGATGAAAGAAGTGTTGCTAAATAGCCACTCCAAAAGAAGTAGCAGAAACGTCGAAGGAAAGTGCGCAATCTTTTTTGCCATCTGGGAAAGAGGCGCGGTGTTACAGCCAGCCTTTACCAGTTGCGAACAAGGAGCGAACGAGAAAATGGAAACAGTAGCGCGGACGTGGAACGGTCCAGACCGGCTGGTCGATATCTCGAAGTACCTACTTTCGGCGCTGGTGCTCCTCCCTGTTTCCTCGCCCTCTTATGGGCTTAACCTCACCTCATCCCCTTTCAACAGATTCCATCCTTTCTCAAATCCTTTCGAGCGTTTCGCGGATTAAGTTGTATTTGAATCGGGTTCGTTAGAAGTCGCGCTCATTAAATCGTTATCACGAGACACCATCGTCGTGTTACAGAATCACAGATTAAGTGTTCAAAAGAATCTGCTTTAATTGCTAAATATGTAATTTGTCAAAATTATATACATTATTTTCATATTTTATATTATTTTTATCAAGAATCGATAGTTTTAATTGATGCGAATTCTTATCTTTTCTCACAAAAGTTTGCACTCGAACATGTATTTACATTCTATTCTTTACTTTACAAACGAGGGTAGCAGTGCAGTAATTTTATGATTGGCAATAACCGAGTTTGCATTGATTGTCTGTGACTCTACAGTTCTTTGACCGACTGACTTCTTTTCGCGCAGGAATATCGAATCTTGGGATATGTAACTGTCAAATAAATCTTTCAGTTTCCACAAATTAATTATTTACATTTTACATATAATTTATTACACAACAGTTTAATACTTCTGCACAATTTTCATAATGCACTATTTTTGCAAAATTGTTATATAAATCACTGTATTTTGATATAAATCATGTACTCGTATTTTGCAACACAGTTGGAAATTCCAATTTCCGAGTTAATTAAATTTTGGAGGAATTACGCTCGCGAGAGATTTGTGGCGGGGCACTGTTTTGCGGCGGACGCGACACGTAGACTGCCAGTGGCATTGGCTCGAGACCGTATTAATGCAATTGCGACTGCGGCTGTGTAATCCGAGATACCTATTGCTTCGTCGCAAGGTGCATATGGCTACACTTGTCATCGAATCAATATTAGTCAATTGAAAAGTAGCGCGCGAACTGTCCGATTTATCCGCGTCTCTATGTGGCTTTTGTGCCCACGACAATGAAAGTCTTCCACGCCAACTTAAACTTTCACAAAGATTTACGATATGGAAAAAATAGAAAAAGAATGAAAAGGTAGCAAGCAAATATGCTGCTATTTTAAATGAAAGATATTATAATTAAGTGATCGTTTGTACCGTCCTTTTCAGTCTGTAAAAATTATTTTAAAAGACCACAATTGGATTTCTGTTTTCTCATTTGCATTCCGTCCAATATTTTTCTGAAGAACGATTAATTGTCATTCATTACACGAATGCATGTATTATGCACGTCGTTCCTACATGTAATGCAAGCGTCACGTATCCAAGCTGCGCACGGGTTAACGAACTATGTCGTAAATAGACATGCAAACCAAACTCGACTATCTCGTTTCCATTTTGAGCCCCTGTTACTATTTTCTCACAAGCCGGATGTACGAAGGTACATGACCAACGCTTTCTATCCGACTGCTAAGATGGATAATCTAAGTTTTTGATGGGGATTTAATGCAAATTATATGATAGACGTTAGAAAATTTTAATAATTCCTTTAAAATTGCTTAAAAATTATTAATTAGTAATTACTTTAAAAAATATTGCTCTTTGCAATATATTTTTATTTTTTAGTATCTTGTATATATTTTATTTAATATCGCGTTATTCCGCGTAAATAATAAATATTATGCAAATTTTTTTGCACACATTTACTATGATTGTTGATATTCTGATCATTTTTATTTGTGCTTAACGTCGCTTTCGTTGCTTTCATGATTATTTACAGTCCGCTTTCTTTTACACTTCGGAGATGAATGTTTTCGCGCAGCCAGACGCATCGATACATCTCCATTCGCGAAATTATAAAGCATATGTGATTTTACACACAGCACGAGTAGCTGGAAATTAATATTGCACGAAACAGCTCGTTCTCGAGAATCGTGATGCATTATTCTTCATAAATATTAGTGAGATTAATACGTTTATAAAAAATTACATGCTTCTTTAATTACTAATATGATATTTTAACTATAATTTCTGACATGAACAGTCTTCAAGTTTATGTTCGAATTAGATTTTCATTATGCCTTGATTGATTAACATCAGCGTTGCGCGTATCGTAAGTCATATCGTTAGCCCTAAGAATATAAATTTACAAACGCATAATTAACATGTTGTTAAATAATTATGCTCCATTAGCATGTGCATCACAGTCGGACTAAATGGCGTCCGTACTTGACCTAGATTTCATTCTTGCATGGAAAAGCATCCGTTTGTAATTATGTCAGAGAGCAAAATTGTTGATGACAAAAATAGCAAAGTACAACGGATAAAACAATATGACATATCCCATTCTTTTGAGAATAATTTTATACAGAGAGAACAAATATTGCTACAAAAATGTTTTTTTTTAATATATCAATAAAAATGGCAACAGTATATTAATTCTCGCAGAAGTGGTAATATTTTTTTTTTTCGTGCAAAATTATTCCGAAAGAAATACAATATGCAAACATTTGCTTCGTCCGTTGCACAGATTAACGTTTGCGAATGTGAAACAGAAGGGGTAATTCGTAAATTAAGATCTTTTTATTTGTTCGTCTCTACAACGTGCGTCTTACTTTTTCGCCGGGGTCGATCGCACGTTCTTCAGCTCCATTTCTTTGTTCGCGGCGTTGTTCTTCTCGGCGTTGTCCTGTGCGTTCGGCGGCGAGTTTTG